CAGTCATCAAGGCAAATCATGTTCTCTAAAGCATCTTTAAAAACTTCCCATGTCAGAAAGCCAAAAATCCACGAGGAACAAGTAACTGAGATTTTAAGTCGAGACAGAATCCCACGCTGCATTGTTACCTGTGTGCCCAGTTCCGGCCCTGGATTTGCAGGTCAGTCGGTTTCTGGCAGGCTCCCCAGCGCCGACTTACTGGGGCAGGAGCTTTCTTTGGTCTGGACGCCTGTGCACCCCACCCGCTTCTCCGTCCTTCTCACCAGAGCTATCTCCGGACCTCTACAGCCCACAGCTCCCGGCAAGAGCCTCTGGGGCGTGTGGGGCCCCAAGATGTGTACACTGTCCCGCTCCCTGGTGTCTGCTGTAGAGTAGTAGGCAGCGGCTCCGCCACTGGACCAGCCCAGCTGACTCGGTCAGCGCAGCAGACTCGCTGGAAGCCAGCTCTGAGCCCAGCTCTGTGTGGGGCCCTTTGAAGTTCATGAGTCATTAGCTCTGCTGCAGCAGTAACCCCTCCTGTCTCCAGTACACGTCTCCACCGATTGCAGCCCTTTCCCAGCCATTGATACTGTGCATGTCCACACGGGGTGACATTTTAACTGCATTTAGGGAGAAGAGGATCCATGGTGACACAACGTTTTGTGTTTGTATTAATCTTTCCTGTAATCTAGCCTGGTGTTCCTGTCGGGAAATGGCCCTGCCATGGGTCATTACTGCGCGGAAGCCTGTCTTTCCTTGTGTGTCACTGTCCCGTTTGCTGGCTGCGATTGCCTGAAGCCTCGTATGGTGCAGAATGCCCGCCCGCCAGAGGCGCAGGTCTGGGCACCTGTGTGCGAGAGCCTCGTCCCCTCCCTGGCCCACTTGCGTCTGGTGCCGACCTGGCTGCCAGCCTCACGTTGTGCTCTCTCCCTGCGTTCCCTGGGAGGGGCAGTGAGTAGTTTTCCCCAGGGCACAGAGAGCCATAACCTGCCTCTGTGCACAGCACATCTGTTTTTGTTTTCCCCTGGCATTTTTTAAGTAAGAAGAAATGTGTGTAGGTTAAAGGGCCTGTGGAGGAGGTTAGAGATAAACACTGTACGATGTGAAACTCTTCCATATGGGGCCGGGGCTTCGGGGAGATTGTCCATTACCGAGCTGCATCCCCTCGGGCCTCCGGGCAGCATTAGACCTCGTGATGCATGTGCACCCCCTTGGTGCGTGGAGGAGCTTTCATTTGGGAATTAAAGAGATGCTTTCGGGACCGGAGCATGGTGGTGCTCGCCTGCAGTCCTAGCACTCAGGAGGCCGAGGCAGGAGGACCACAACTCTGAGCCCAGCCTGGCAACAGTAACTGATACTCTGTCTTAAGATAAAAAATCAAAGGGCTGGGGATGTAGCCTGATGTGAAGGCACTGAGTTCAATTCCTAGTACTGCAAAGAAAGGAAGGAAAAAACAAATGGTCTCAGGACGCATGTATTGATTTCCTCCTTCCCTGAAATATCTTAGTAGAAATCAAGGCAAACATTAATTAATATCTTTAAGGAGAAATGAGTGACTTTGGTGACATCAAAGCTGTTGCCAGCGGTGCTGGATGAGGCTGTCTCATCCTTGCCTTCAGGTCCGCTGTCGTGTGGTTCCTTAAATGTGAGGTCTTCGTGAAAACCTGACTGTCCGTGCTTCTTCTGGGTGTTGCCTTGCTCTGGGTTGATTGACCCGGAGTACAAAACCCAGAAGATCGTGGCGAGTGCCCGCGGCTGCTCCTCTCATTCCAGCCCGCTGTTTCTGAAACACAGCAGCCACAGCAATTACTCTGTCAGTGGTCTTGCTGCTGCCCCCCGATCTTAGTAAAGATTTAGTTCAGGTGCTGAGGAATGTGGGGCAAAAATGAAGACATGTCGATGGCTTCATAACACACACACACTTTCACAGAACATACATTAGAACAATGAGAAAGCGCTCGATTTAGCGTCTCCAGTAGGGGGAGCTTTCTGTAAATCTTCACTCTTTATAATTTTATAGTTAAATTATTTATAATTAAAAGCACTTGGCAAATAATGATTCATTTGAACCGGAGTTCTGATTCATTACTCTAATTATTGTTACCATGCAGTGCCCTTTGGCCTGGAAGTGAAACTCGTGTGCTCCTGACACCAGAGGTTAACAGAGCAGGAAGCCGGAGCACTGTGTCCCCATGGTGACCAGAATAATTTAGTAATTGTCTAATTACCTGAGGAGTCTAATGCTACTACTAAAAATAGTATTAAAAAATTAAATGCAAGTCATTTTCTTGTTTCTTGCAACCCATCTGTTCTCTATTTGGGGCAGCCGCGTGTCAGGGTATGAAATGCGATACTTCTGAAGCTACCGTCTCACTTCTGTTCCGTTGAATAAATATGTTTTTAATGGGATGTAGAATCCCGTAACTCCATAAATGTTTCTAGCTTCCGGAATTCAAACTTGCTGGCGATCCGTTGTCCAACAACTGTGCTTTAAAGGCTGGAGCTGAGCTTGGTCAATGATATATTTCTCTCTTTTTGGAAATGGAAAGAAATGCCTGTCGTCTGAGAATCCGTCGCCTCCCTGGGATACTAAGTTATGCATTTGCTCACTCCTTCAGCTAGTGCCTGTTTCACACCAGCGCCCCCCACCCATGTGCTAGGGGTGCTGATGCGTAACTTGCACAGATGAGCTCTCTGTTCCCACGGCCTGATGGCAGAGAGAATCATCAGGTGACAGGCCATTCTTGGGCACTGAGGACAGTAACACACAGGGTATCGGACAAGCATAACTTCCCTGGGCAGGCCAGATGGGGCCGCAGGACTGGGGGACCTGGCAAGGCCTCCTAGAGGAAGAAAATTGGAATCGAGACCTGAATGATGAGACTGAGCAAATCAGCCCTGCAGAGAGGTGTGGGTGCTAGGGTTCCAGGCAGAGGACATGGCAAGTGCAAAGGCCCTGAGTCAGGAAGGAGCTCAGCAGTGTTCAGAGCACAGGAAGGCTAGTATGACTGGGACAGCATGAGAGGGGAGAAGGATGGCACTGTGGGTGGGGAGCTGGTGGGGTGAGCGGGGACGAGCAGGTGGGCTGTGTTCTGGGGAGGGGGCATCTGAATTTTGAGCCACAGACTTGGTGTTCAAAACTATTTGTTAATAAGTAGGGTTCTTTTCTGTATAGTATCCTTTAAAAAATTAATTTTTTGAGTGCCAGGGATTCAGCCCAGGACCTTACCTTGTGCAGGCAAAGCATGCCCTGTGCTGCTGTGCACACCCCAGCCCCTCATTTGTGTGTTTTATCCCAACACAGCGAGCCCTTCCTTCTCACGCAGGCCAAGGGTTGGAAGGGGCTGCTGGTGGCCACTGTCCACCCCCTCCATACTTGGTGGTTGGAGTTAAGCAGCCTTCTTGAGATTTAGGGGAGTCTGTGGAGCCCACCCCTCCTGTTTTCCAAACTGAGTCTCAGAAAGCAGGCAGTTCACAGCCCACCCAACAGTAAGACTCAGATTTTCTAGCCTTGCCTGGTTGTTACCGTGTTGCTGGAACTGTTTCCCTAAGACAGGGCCCATGCCTGGCCCTTCAGAGGCTGAGCGTGTGCACACTGAGAGGGCAGAAAGAAGGGTTGGGGAGGCTGTGAGAGCATGGGGCCGCTCCTCAAGAACAGGGTCTGAAGTCTGAGGGAGAAAGAAGTCAAGCACGGTCAAAGTGAGTCTTGAAAATCTGCTCTAGGTGGAATGCTGGGTACCATCTTGTACTAAGTTCCTTCTGCTAAGGTTTCTCCCGTTGCTACTGCTGTGCCTGTGTTGTCAGCCTTCTGTTGCTGGGACCAAATTACCTGATTTATATGACTTAAAGGAGGAAAGTTTTTTGTTTGTGTGTTTTTTTGTTTTTTTGCTCATGGCCTCAGAAGTTGCAGTCCATGGTAGGCTGGCTCCCCCACTCTGGGTCTGTGGAGAGGCAGAAACATCACGGCGGCAGGGCATGCGGGAGGAGAGCTGTTTACCACATGGCAGTCAGGAGTCAGTGAGAGGGACGAGCCGGAGAGGGAGGGCTGAGGCCAGGATATACCCCTCCAAGGCCACACCCTGTGCTGCTGGCGTCCACTGGTAGGCCCCGCTTCCCAGCAGCCATTGCATTGCGGACTCACCAGTGGATTAATCCCCGTGAGCGCAAGCTCAGGGCCCTCGTGATCCGTTCACTTCCTCAGACCCCATCAGGCAGCAGCCAAACGTGCAGCACAGTGAGGCTTTTTGGGGGACACTGTAGACCTCAGCAGTGACAGCCTCACCGGGCCTGCCCTGGGCTGCAGTACTGATGGTTGTTTTTCCAAAGAGCACCAGCTGAAGCCATTGCCTCCTGTTTTATTAAGAAGAAGGTACAAGCCGGGCGTGGTGGCGCACGCCTGTAATCCCAGCCCTCGGGAGGCTGAGGCAGGAGGATCGCTGTGAGTTCGAGACCAGCCTGGGCTACACAGTGAGTTCCAGGTCAGTCTCACTACATAGGGAGACCCTGTCTCAAAAAGAAGAAGAATGGTACATTTGAAACTGGTTGTAAACCGAGGACGACTTTGGTCTCTGGGGATATGTAGCAATGTCTGAAGAGCATTTTGGTCTCTTACCTGAAGCGGGGCTTTCTGCTAAACATTCTGCACAGCACAGGGTGCCCACAGCCGCGAATAATCCACCCCAGATGGCAGCAGTGCCAGGTGCTAAAATCCAGGATCCCATAGTGCAGCAGGGTCTGCACTGTAACACCTCAGCCCCCACCCTCAGGAGAACACACTCCCGCTGTCCATGGCAGAATCACCCTCACCTCACCCATCCAACTACTTCTTCACTCTTTATTTTCCCTTCTGAGTGTAGAGGGTTGAACCCTAAAAATGACCCACTGTGTCAGGTCCTGCAGCGTCACGGCACAGCCCAGGAGTCGTGTGCGGGGCCCTGGGAAGGAAAGCAGGAGCTCCGCGTGGCTGTTTTCCCCTGCTTCCTTCCTCTGTACATTGTCCTTACCGTCTGTCCTCTCTGCAGCAGTCCCAGGAGCCTCCGGCTCAGAAGGGCCCCACGGTCACCACCAAGGTCCGGCGGACCATGAGCAGCCGCGTGCACGAAGCCGTGAAGGCCATAGCGCTCTGCCACAACGTGACCCCCGTGTACGAGTCCAACGGCGTGACCGACCGGGCCGAGGCCGAGAAACAGTACGAGGACTCCTGTCGCGTGTACCAGGCGTCCAGCCCAGACGAGGTACTTCCGGGGCAGGGGCACAAAAGCGGCGTCCTATGCTTTGTGTCCCTCCCGCCCCCTGACTTCTCAGTCACGGGTCTGTGTTTCACTTGGTATTTTCCAGTTTTCCCTCTTCCTTCCCCGAAATCCTTGATCCTGCTCATAGAATCAGTTCTTGGTCAGTGTGGAAGACCAGGGTGCTTTGGGAAGATACAAAGAGGAAAATGAGTCCATTGCAACCTCACGATGGCCGACTCCTTGAACTTTGGTGATGTGCTTTCAGGGGCCGCCTCACCTAATCTTCCCAGCAGGGTTGCTGTCCCCATTTTCCACAAAGGAAAGACAAGGGCATGTGTGATCTGCCAAAAGGAAACCTATTCGTTTATATAACCAATACAAAAAAGACTGACCTACGATAAGAACAGTGGCAAAGACACAAGAGGAGCCAAAGATAAGGGCAGAGAGGTCAGATTTTTGTCATGAAGTCATGTGGGTTTTTTTTTTAACTTTTAAATTGTGAAATAATTTCAGACTTAGTTATAACATTACTACAAAGAATTCCCTTTTCCCGAAGCTTCACTCAGATCCCCCAAATGTGAGCATTTTTCCACACGTGCTTTCTTTTCTCTCCTGCAAGTCCTCCTTTACCCTTAAACATCTCACTCTCTCCCCTAAAACACAAAGCCATTCATCAGAATCAGAACATTAATGGTGACACAGTGCGATCGCCTGACCTGTGCATCTTGTGCTGATTAATTACATCCACTGTCCCGCCGGGTGACACAGTGAAAAGGAGGAAACCATTTCCCCAGGTCAGGGTCCAGCCCTGAGTCCAACATGCATTTGCTTTGTCTCTTGAGTTTCTGAAACCCAGAATAGTTTCCAGCTCTCCTTGACTTTCATGACCTTGAAACTCTGAAGAGCACAAGCCGGTCATGTGGTCAGCCGACCCTCGGCCGGTGTTTCTGACGCAGACTCGGGGTTCTGCAGGCTGGGCTTAAACACCTGATGCCAGTGGGTCTTGCTTGCATGGCACCAGCTCCCTGCATAACAGGGCTAAGTTCCTTTCCTCCCTTCTGTCCTTTCCCCTTCCTTCCCTTCCTCTCTCTTCCCTTCTGGTACTGGAGATTGAACTCAGGGCCTTTGCACTGAGCTGCCTGCATTCCCAGCCCTTTTTTATTTCTCACAAAGTCTGAAAGTTGCCCAGGCGGGGCTAAAACTTGCCATTTTCCTGCCTCAGCCTCCCAGAGCACTGGGATTACAGGTGTGTGCTATCACACCTGGCTACTTTTCTCTTTCTGTGTGGTGCTTTTAATATGGAGCCTTCATTTAGGATCCCGGCTGCACCCTGGTGGCTCCTTATCCTCACTGTGCCTCTTGACCCCTGGGGCCAGACATTTGCCACTGGCTGTCACCGGGCCCTTGGTGAGCAGCAATAAATCCCAGGTCCGATTGAATGGAGTGTTTTTAAGGCTTGTGACACCAATTGTCAAGAGTACTTCCAGAATTTGAGAAAAAACAAATAGTTGTCCTGTCGGCCAGCACGACTGGGATCATAGTGTCTGTGCTGGCTGTGGGAGGGCGGGGCCTCCCGGTGTGCGCGAGGGCTCTAAAGGGCTGGGCGGACTGCAGGGCGCGCAGGAGCCTGTGGGGCGGATGCTCGCAGATGCAGGGCCCGGTGACGTCCCCTGCCCTGTCTCGTGGCTTCTCTCTTAGTGGGCAGCAGAATCTGCCCCCCGGGAGACTCCTCCTTGCAGTCTGCACGGTGTTTGCCTGGCAACTGAAGCCGGAAAGCCTAGTGCACCGGTGCCCGTTGGCGTTCGAGCCGAGAGCTGTGCCGGAGAGCAGGGCCAGAGGGAGCTCTGCGATGCTGCCCATCTGCTCAGATGTGTCACCGGAACCCCTCATCATTTCTGCTCTCTGTGGCCCATCCGGCTTGGTCTGCTGGGGCTTGTCTTTCCCCTTGGGAGCGGGAGCGCAGGGCCGCGGCATTTCAGATGAGGGAAAGGCCCCTGGTCTTGGTCGCTGCAGGCTGCGGGTAGGAAGCTCGTGAGTAATTGGCAGGATTTGAGCTGTTGGCGAGTGGACCGGCGCTTGTGTGTGGGTCCTGGATGCCGTCCTGTGCCCATTCCTCCCTTCCTTCCGACCTCTCATGTGCTTGCTTTGAGGCTGTGCGGATTTTCCCAGGAGGGTAGCTCTTTCATGGAGTGCTTTGTGCTGCTTGGCTTTTTTTCCCCCAGAGAGAATAGGGCTCTATCTTGCTTGCTTATTTACTAATTGCGCTTGGATACAGTTTTCTCTTGTTTTTCTAAGTTCTGAGTCATGATTGAAAAAACAAATGAAAAAAGAGGTATTTTTCCCTTGGCTTTTGGTGTCTTCATAGAGGCCACCGTTGCCTTACTGGTTCAAATATGTGTGTGTGTATTTTATAACTATTGTTTTTTGATACAGTTATTGCTTGTCTATAGTAAAACACGTGAAGCTATAGATAAGAAAAAAGTAAACTCTGATCCCACTAAGGGTATAACCGCTGTGAGTATTACCTCGCAGTCACTCCCGAAGGCCTCAGAGGACCTGTGCGGCAAAGCGCCGCCTGTTTCCGTAAGGCCGTCATGTGACCCCGAAGGCCACCGGAGTTTAGGTGCAGTCTCGCCCGGGGCTGCACTGTTTCCCGATCCCTGAAGGTTTCGGAGTGGCTGCCCCAGCACGGGCCTTTGAGGTTCACTATCAGTAAGACAGCTCCAGGCGTGGGGAGGTCAGTTCATGCAGCTCCCACAGAAACCAGCATTCGTCCGACGGTGGAGCTGCTGGCGTAATTTCCCCCAGTTGGTGTGGGATTTATTTCCTGTAACAGAAGGCAGGATTTCCTAAATTTGTTTCCTGTGCACCTTCCGCCGTGGAAGCCTTGAAAGTGCCTTTATTCAGCTATCAGTTACAGCCCGAGGGGCCCAGGCCCCTGCTGCCTACTGCGTCCTTGTCTGTATCTGAGCAGGACTAGAGGCTCCTCCGTGTTGCAGGAGGTCCCAGCCGCTCGCTTCCCTCATCTCTATGGTGTGTTAGCCGGGGTTTTTTTGTTTTGTTTTGTTTTTCCTGGAACTGGGGATTGAACTCAATGCCTTTGCACTGAGCTACATCCCCAACCTTTTAAAAAAAGTTTTTTCCTCCTATTTTGAGACAGATCTCAATAAATTGCCCAAGCTAAACGTGAACTTGTGATCTTCCTGACTCGGCCTTCCAGAGTTCTGTACATTACAGGCGTGTGCCACCACTCCCAGCCCTAAGTTTTTTCTATACATGAAAGTACAGGTGGTGTACACAATCATACTATAGTACCTATCATTAAACAGGAAGGAATGTGAATTGAATTAAGTAACATCCTTTAGGAAGTCATTACAGTTTTCATAATTCTATAGGACTTACGTGTTTGCATGTGTGGGCATGTAAAGTGCATGTATGTGTTCACATACACATGTAGTGTGAGCACATGTACATGTGTGACACACACTTTAATTATTAAGATACTTTTAGGTATTCAAAATATTCTAGACATAGTGGCACGTGCCTGTAATCCCAACTACTCTGGAGGCTGAGGCAGGAGGATCACAAGTTTGAAGCCAGACTGGGCAACCTTGTGAGACCCTGTCTCAGATCAAAACTAGAAAGGGTTAGGGGTGTAATTCAGGGGTAGACCCCCTGCCTACATGAGCATGCATGAGGCCCTGAACTCCATCCCTGGGACCACACACACACACACACACACACACACACACACACAATTAGAACACAGTTGTACCTTATAGGTAGTTTTGGTCTTTGCTTTTCCTAACTCATCTTTTGAAAGCCTGTCAGTTTGTAGTGTCCCATTGCACTTGTGAGCTTGGCAGAGGTCGCGTTTTGCTGAAATGTGTGTTGTGGGTTCCTGTGGCCTCTCAGCAACATGGACCATGGTAGACACTTGGGATGGGAGAGTCACTTGCTAACCTCACAGAGGAAGAGCACATCACACTGGCCTTCACGCTCCCCTGAGCCGCTGCTGCTGCCTGTGCTTAGTGTCCAGGTTCTGATTCCTCAGCCTAGAGACCCAGCAGAGCAGGCATGCACCTCCCTCCCCGGAGCTGAGGAGTGAAGACCGGGCGGAGGTGGCCAGAGCAGCTGCCGATAGGCATAAGGGTCTCCCCTGCTGGGTTCCCAGCTCTGCCTTGACAAGGATGAGTTACTAGGGTTGCGCCCACTTTGCAGATGCAGTGTAAGCTGGCTAGAGGACATTCCTAAGGTCACGTGGCTGGTAAAATGAGAGCCAGGCAGCCCATGCCTAGAGGCTGGACCTGTAGCCCGCACCTGCGAGGGTGGCTGCACAGAGAGTTTAAGGCACAAGTGTTAGGGGAACTTGGGATTGACACAGTCTCTGGTTATTCTTTTTTTTTTTTTTTTTTTTTTTTAAAAATTAAGCCATTTAATTATAAATTTAATGTCACGTTTTTGGAAAAGAATTGCACAAAGGCCAGGTATATTCTATAACTGTTTAAGGTTTTGGGTTTTGGCTTTTGGCTTTGGCTTTTGGCTTTTTGAGACAGGATCTTGCAGTGTAGCCCAGGCTGGCCTAGAACTTGTGGAGATCCTCCTGCCTCAGCTTCCTGAGTGCTGGGATTACAGATGTGTGCCATCATGCCCGGCACTGGTTATTCTTGGCTGCTTTGCTACTCTGATTCCTTTGGTGGCCCCTGTGTGAGCTGGTGTGAGTGATTGTGTCTTGCAGGTTTTCAGTGGAACTCTATTTTACTCTTTCCTGTCCCTCCTCTCCCCTGACCCCTCTCTCCCCTGCCCATTTTGGGAAACTTCTACCCATGGTAAAAATAAACTTCTTCCTCTGCTTTCTGGATCTTGGCCTTCTGAGTCTCCCCATTACTACTCATCTCTTGAGGATTCTTCTCTTAGAAAGGAAATGAGTGTGCTTCTCCCATGGTCCACAGCAGCCTGGACACAGCTCCCCGCAACAGGTGGCTATGGGTTGCAGAGTAGAA